TATAAAAGTAAACCATTATAGGTCAAGGTACGGCCTTCAACACGGAGCATTGGCTCACACCGAACAGCAAGCTTTAAAGGGCCCCAAAAAATTACTTGTGTAAAACCATTAAAACGGTAAAAACCAACGGTCTAATCTATATAAAAACGAGAAACGAGAAACACGTATGAACTATATAAACAGACGACAACTACTTTCATGTATATCTCATATAGTGGATAAGATTTTAGTATGAACATCATTTTATTCAAAACGAAAAGGTATGAACTTCAAGATTGTTTTGCTGCATTTAAGTATTTAAAGAGATCCCACGTACTTCTTACCAATATATTCCACTTCCCCACTTATCTTTACCTCCTATATCCCGCATACCAAAAGCGTGTAATCCCGCTCTCTAAAGATTGTCTCGACAAATTATTGGTTATTTTATTTGAATAAAGTGCATGTCCCAAGTCAAGAGCATTGTTTTGTATATAAATCAGGCCGTTAGTTTTCTCGTTTGAATTGTTTTACATTTGTAAGTTCGGGGCCTTTTATAGCTGACTCTGCGGTATGGGTTTTGCTCATTACCGAAGGCCGCACAGTGACCTACAGTTGCTAACTTCTATGTCATCTGGTCTCTGGTGGAGAGTCGTCTCATTGGCAATCATACCACATCATTCATTTTTATATAAAATACAAAAAAATTCCCAGAGAAAATAATTGATATGTTTGGCAAATCTTTGAGTCTCAAAAATTTTCCACAAACATTGCAAACAAAAATCACATATAAAGTAAATCCATGGTGTGCTAGATTTTTACATTTATTCAATGTTTTTTAGAGAGCACTGGAAAAATTTAATTCAATATTGTGCCAATGAAAAATCCTATACAAACGTTTGTTTTTCCTTGCGCACAATTTTGAGACTGTGGGTTATGGTAACGAAACTGTCCATTATACTTCATCTACTGGTGCAAGGTTAGAAGGTCAAAAGTAAAGTTTGAATGAAAGGTCTGGTAAAAACCTTCAAACACGATACATCTACCGAATCTCTTAATTGGTTTTCTGAAATACAACACACCAATCTGCAAAAGAAGTTCGAAGGGAAATGTCAACATTCTTGTAAACTCTTTAATTGTATAGTATATTGGTCTTCAATGAAACATTGATTATTCACACTTAATTTAAATATGTACTTTTTCTTCACAGATTTCTTAGTCTTTATCGATATGTAAATACGAATTATTTGCATTTATTAACTCGTACTTTCTTATTAAACTGGACATTTCATTTTTAAAATGTGGGAAAATAAACTTTCACAAATTTTACAATGTAATAGGCAAACATTTATTTAAACAAAAAGAGAATGGACATTTCAGCTATACATGTGTATTTGTTGACACCGAACATCAGTATTACATGACATTACTAAAAAGATGCCATAATTTGATTGGAAATTTTCCTTTTCTTACCCTGATTTTGTGCCTGAGAAATGGATCTTTGAAACAATTGGGAGTTAAATCGTGTGGTATTTCCCCCGTAAAACGTGGGCGTTCTCCTGTTGAACCAGTTTTCATTTAGCTAAAGTATATACGGTATTTCAAAAAAGGCAAAGTGGAATGTACACGTCAAAGGATTATTCAAAATTCAGAGAAAGAAGCTGTTTCCCAGAACTGCAACTAAAGGCCAGTAAAACTGTAGTTGCTAAACACGGTCTGTCCCTCATAACATCGGAATTCACTCACCAAACTGAAAAGGTACCATTTCGAAAAATGTTCGAAGTGAAAAATCAATCTTCAAGAGTTAAAACTATCGGTAAATTGGATACCATAAAGGAGGATGAATTATATGACAATGATCAATTCGAAAAGAAAATCTTATGTAGAAAATACGGTAATATTTTACCCAATTCCAAACATAATTCTGTACATCACAGAAAATCTACAGCAAACGTCTGCTTCTCATACCCTCGATTCTGGATGCCAAAAATAGCACACAGTAAAAACGTCATAACCAACAGTTTGTTGTATCGTGATGTGATTCGTTCGCAAGTTAAAGTTCGTAAAAGTAAACTTGCAGATTCACTACAGGATTTCAGAAGGAGGCTAAATGTTGTAAAGCAGCGATAGAAATACAGTAACTTTTTTTACTGTAAATCGTAGAAGCGGACTACGTTGTAATTGTCCGTTTCCGTTGTGGAAGGAACAAGAGAAAATCTTTCATTTTTACATGAACCGATTATCTACCCTTCATTCAATATTTAATGTTATATAGATCAATAATAAATGCAATTTATAATATATTTTTTCATACAGTGTATAACACTAACAACGTAAAACGCTCATCTGTGACATTGCTCTTATAATTCTTACGGACAGCAACCGACGAAAACCACTCTGAATTGCAGGTTCCTGACTCATGAAAAACAGGAACAAAAGAATGTGGCGGGAATACATGTTTGAGAGCGCTCAACCCTCCTCTAAACTTGGACAGTTGCGTAACAACAAACGGTAAAAAAAACTGGGAATATTCAATGTTTAACAATGGTCACTCTAGAAAAAATAAAAACTAGTTGTATAATTCATGAAAAATTTCTTTTTTTTTTACTGACAATTTCGGCTATGTTGACTTAGGATCTTGTCTTTCTTTATCTATCTACTATAGTTTTTACCCAATAATGTAATACTAGATAAACATCATTAGAGGGCAATAACTAAACTATACAAATCTGTCGATTTTTTTTGGCTACTTAACCTCTTATTTTATTGACCATTTCCATGCATATTTGTTGACTGACGATTTGGGCCGCGTTGACTTATTTGTACACATCTTAAATCTATTCTAGTTTTCAAAACAATAGGCAAAACAACAAAAAAGTACGTCACTCAGGGTCAAACATCTATAAGAAGTCGATTAAAAAAAAAATCGGCTGTGTTTGACTTGAATGTAGCTATTGTCTTGTTGATTATTGATGCTATTAAAAGTATCTCTCTATTTATCATATTCTTCAAGATAATAGGCATAAAATCATACAATTGGTGAAAATCGTCAATTAAGGACAAAAACTCACGTAAGGTGTCTTCTGTCAAAAGTCAAACTAATCAATATGTAGAATTCGACATGATCTTTTTGTCCTCTTGTCAAATTTTCTCTATCTTTAACGACTTTACCCCTATGTTTTATCTTATATTTGGTGGTCATGATGGTTGGCCGGTCGGATCATCAGACACATTTTTAAACAAGATACCCCAAGGACGAGTTTGGACAAGTTTAGTTCAATTTGGCCCAGGAGTTTCAGTGGAGATTTTTGTAAAAGTTAAAGGTCGACGACGGACGCCAAATGATGACAAAGCTCCAACCGCCCCAATGAGCCAGGTGACCTAGAAATGTGACATTTTTGAACATAAAATTAAATAGTACATTCTTAAAGATGGTTCAAAGATGTCACTTGGATGGATGTTTCGAATGAACGGAGTAGTAGGTAGACTTCAAGACGACAGTAAATCTACTCAAGGTACTAATCATAGACCTATATAAAGTATTTGTTTATATATCAAAATGATGAGGAGAGATCTTCTTTTTCAAAATCCAAAATGCAACCTCTATTGGAGGAACAGTTATTTATTGTCTTTTGGCACACCGTTTATAGGACGCTTTTCCCGTCTGTAAATCAAGTTCATAAATAAAGTAACTGTGCTAAGACTAAGGTTTCAACTTTCTTATTTCCTTAGGCAAAGCGGACTTCACACGGTTTTGATCATTCTATTAATATTCTTTTAATTGTTTTTTTTTTCTCTTTTAAGGGGGGGGGGGTGTAGTAATTTTAAACGGTCACCATAGGTGATGACCACAGAAACACGCGTCGTTCGCACGGGAATAGGTATCATATGTTTTTTAAATATTTTTTTTTAAATCTACAGATACCTTGAATGTTTCAATATTTTTTAAAAAAAACCTCCTCAATAGTTGTGTGCTGGATTAAATAACATGAATACTTTGTGAAAATGTTGAACAACTTATCAGTAAGTTGTTTTTCATTTTTTACTACATGTATCTTTTACCAACTTTCCAATCTGGTCTATGTGAGTGAAACAAATACACGGGAAAAGAGTCACGCTTAAAGTTGTTAAAGAGATATATTGATGACTCGGCTGCTTAGTTTTATTTTTCTTATTAGTTTCTTTTTCATTGGTTCATTTGAATTAAATTATGGGTAAATCACTCGATATGATCAAACAAAACGTTTTATTTTTACTTTTGAATCTGTTAATTATTCTATTATCTTGTCATCAAATTATTCAATTGTTATTTTTCAAAATTTGATAGTGATCTGAGTGAACGGCGTACTACAGGAGAGTGAGCAGGCCTCGCCTCGGGCCTTAAAATATTTATTAAACATGATCAAGTATTGTATATCCTATACATAATCAAAAGAAAATAATTGCAATACTTCCACATATTCAACGCTAAAAATTAGCACCCCATTGAATGGTATGGTTAGTTTGTTCCAGTTAATGGTTAAAAATAAGAAAATTAAAAGTAAAAATTTCTTTTCATTTGAAATCTTTCTTATTGTGTACTGTGGTGTAAAAATAAGTTCTCTAATATTATATAATATTCCTGTTACGAAACATGTTTTCAAATCCCACTGAGTAATGAACAAAAACTTCAGACCATGGAAGTATTATATTGTCAACATAATACTTCCATGTTCAGACGAAGTATAATTACATGCATGTATGTTAATTGTGGTGTTTATAGTTGGTCGGGTGGTGTATGACCTGGATACACAACACGGTGTTGCCACGATGTCACAGAAACATGGGTTCAAGTCCCACAGAGGGGACAACACTTATTTACTTCTTCAAATTTACAGATATAACATTTGAGTAAAATTTCAGACAAACATATGTGTGTAAATTGTGGTGTGAACCCTTTTAGCCCTATGTTATCCTATGGACTTGCAGACTGTCAAATATTTAAACATACATTATATAAACATAACATGTTGACAAATAAATAATGGGTAACAAGTAAATTTAATATTAAATTATACATGAACTGTCATATATTAAGTACGCTATAAGATATGGGTGTCACTACCAATATCAAATAGGTTTTCAAACATTTTGTTTTGCTAAGAAAATAATCTTTGCCAAATTTTTACGTAATGTTAGAATAAAATGTGGTTCATTTCTATCCTTCCAAAAGCTGTCATTTCGTCTAGAAAGGCAAGTCAATAAAACTGTTAAGGCATACTTCTATGTCCAACAGATCCAGGAGGCCGGATTTTATTCGTCGTAGAAGTATGTAAACTGTGAGGTCTATTAATATTTGTTAAAGATGTAAATGTTCGAGAGAGATAATTGTTCGTGGTTGTTTGTCTGTTTCCAATTTTGCCGTTGTATTCTGGAATGCCAATTGTCAATCCTAAGCTCCCAACGTTGAATAAAGCTGCAACAGATAAGACATTTCATTTAAGATATTTCGGTAGCTAACTGATAAAAACAATACCGATATCAAATTTTAAGATAAAGGTATACTTTTATCACTATTTTGGTTGTTACTTCGACTGTAGTTTTAAAGTTTTCTGTTTGTGGTGAAAATCCGCCTCAGCTGTTAGCTATCACGAAAAATGCAACCCAATACCGGAAAAGACATCTTTAGATGTCAACATATCGTGTTTTAGAATAAAGCGTCTACACAAAAAGTACAGCCGATTGTCCTGAGTCAGTGTGAATAAATTTAAAAGAGACTCAAATATCTGACATTGACGCCAAATTCACTATGAACACAACCAAAGACAGGGTCCCGGACTTCATTGATAAGCAAATGAGCATGTGGTGGTTGGGAAAAGGAGGGGGGGGGTAAACTAGTTTTTATTTTATAGGCCAACAAACTTTGCTCTTTTAATCTTAATTTGTGAAAAAGTCAATAGAACATGGAAGAGCTTGCAATACAAATCATTTAAGCCTGAAAACGCAATTACAGTTAAGCTACCGGTATTAAAGACAGAATAATCACAGGTTCATTCAAAACAAATATTAAAATTCCGTAACCAAGAATGGCAAAAGATACAATATACCCAAAGTAAGTTTAAACGACTAAAACCTGGCTATACGGAAACAATGCCTTCCTCCAGACGGATATCATTAGCTCTACGTCCGATTAGATTTCATACAGCAATGACAAGAAAAGAACAGGAAGACTTGATTGCTAGTGACTTGTTCGTGCTTTGTATAAGGTAATGTGCTCTTACTAAAAGGGGTGTTGTTTGATATGTATAAAAACAAAAATATGTTCGGTCTGACTAGGAGTATTAACTATGATACATGTTATACAATGTAAATCAGATGAACAATTAAAAATTTCCAAAAATCTACTAGAGTACATACAATCTAAGTCAATCTTTTCATGCACTAGTGAAAAAATAAATATGGAGTCTACCGTTTACAAAAGTATTCCTCATTCTTAACTTCTAGACAGATTGAAATGATAAGTCCAACTTTGTTTCATAAAAAAAGAAGGCCAACATAGATACAAATATCTTGTTCTAGGAAGGATGAATTCATATTTTGTCAAAATAAATTCAATCCTTTTTCAAACAAAAAGTTCTCTGAAACTTATAATGCTCGATTTTCTTTTTGACAACATGTTATGCTAGATGAACGTGGTTTTCAGACATTCGACATTCCTATTGGAACCAACTAGGCTCCTCTCCTCTCCATTGGACCATTGTTCTTAATAGTAAATTTGAATTCACCTTTTCGAAAGTTTTACGAACGCGTTCAGTATAGTTTGGATCGTTTTGAGATATCTGTATCACATATCACCACGAAAACGTTCCAATTGTAGCCACAGTCCCGTCCTCTTTCTTGGTTTAGTTATTCCACTACCGAACGTGACGTATCACCTGATTTTACTTATATGGGGTTTGTGTTGCTCAATCTTCCAGTTTCAGCGTAATGTTATGTGTTGTGCAATATTAAGTTTTTTATGTAGTGTTTTAAGTTGCTCAATATTTAGTTTTCTGCGTAGTGTTTTGTGTTTTTCAATCTTTAGTTTACTGTGTAGGTTTTTATGTTGCTCAATCTTTAGTTTTCTGCGTGGTGTTTTGTGTTGCACAAGCTTTAGTTTCTGCGTAGTGTTTTGTGATGCTGAATATTTAGTTTTCTGCGTAGTGTTTTGAGTTGCTCAAGCTTTAGTTTTCTGCGTAGTGTTTTGTGATGCTGAATCTTTAGTTTTCTACGTGGTGTTTTGTGTTGCTCAAGCTTAAGTTTTCTGTGTAGTGTTTTGTGTTGCTCAATCTTTAGTTTTCTTCGTAATGTTTTGTGTTGCTCAATCTTTAGCTTTTTGCGTAGTGTTTTGTGTTGCTCAATCTTTAGTTTTCTGCGTAGAAGTTTGTGTTACTCAATCTTTAGTTTTTCTGTGTGGTGTTTTGAGTTGCTCAAGCTTTAGTTTTCTGCGTGGTGTTTTGTGTTGCACAAGCTTTAGTTTTCTGCGTAGTGTTTTGTGTTGCTCAATCTTTAGTTTTCTGCGTGGTGTGTTTTATGTTGCTCAAGCTTTAGTTTTCTGCGTGGTGTTTTGTGTTACTCAAGCTTTAGTTTTCTGTGTAGTGTTTTGTGATGCTGAATATTTAGTTTTCTGCATAGTGTTTTGTGTTGCTCAATCTTTAGTTTACTGCATGGTGTTTTTTGTGTTGATCAAGCTTTAGTTTTCTGCGTAGTCTTTTGTGATGCTGAATATTTAGTTTTCTGAGTGGTGTTTTTGTACTGCTCAATATATAGTTTTCTGAATAGTGTTTTGTGTTGCTCAATGCTTAGTTTTCTACGTAGCGTTTTATGATGGCGTATATGTAGTTTTCTGCATAGTGTTTTGTGTTGCTCAATACTAAGTTTTTGCGTAGTGTTTTATGATGCTTAATATTTAGTTTTCTACGTAGTGTTTTGTAGATTGTTGTTTGTCTACGTGTCTTTTTTACTTGGACAAGACGTTGATTTTTCTTTTTTCTATTTATGATTTTCAATTGCATCTTTTTCAATCTTCTTCGCCCTATTTTTATGTACAACGCGTGCTTAACGGCTTAATGCATTGCGGGCTGTATGAATACGGAGTCACATTTGATTTGAGTAGGTATAGGGATTTTAAAATGAATACCTGTGTGTGCGTGTTCCAACTTTTCTGTACGCACAAGAGCCCTAACCATAACGACAAATCTCGATGAGGGATGTTTTTAAGCATGGCTGGATGTTCCAATACACAGTCACAATCAATATAAATTGAATTAAGTGATCTAGTGATCACAGATACCCTCACCGTGTAGAAACACTCCAAAAGGGTATCGGTGTAAACAACCATAGTTTCATTTGTTATTCTATATCCTTCACACAAATGTTTCAGAAATAAGTTTATGGACTTTGCTCATTGTTGAAGGCCGTACGGTGACCTTTAGTTCATATCTTCTATGCCATTTGGTCTATGGTAGACAGTTGTCTCATAGACAATCACACCACATCTTCTTACTTGTTGATTTGATTCAGGTATATTATGATAATATGACATGTTTGATAGCGTTGATATATTGGCAAAATCATTTGGTAAAATCAATTCACCTCGATATCGTAAAAGCAGAGTTATGGAACATGTGACGGATAGAATGGTTTGCTGCTTAAATATTCAGGAAGATATCAATGAAACGGAGACGGAGATGCACAGGAGGGGGCAATTAAAAACCATAAACCGAAGAAAGACGGATAACGCCATGACCAACAAAGAAAATACGTTCAGAAAAAGAAGTCCGGAAAACATCACAAAAGAGACTTAAGACTGTTACTAAGGTGTCTTCATTAACTCAGTCAAGACTTGAAAGATAAGCTGCTCTTGTAGTTCCTTTATTAAAACCTTTAAACTTAGTGTGTAAGTTTTGTCTTATTCAGTGTATAATAATGTTATCCGAATCAATCACTAACACCGAGCAAATATTACTATTCATTGATTTTATAATTATCAGATATTTTGATATATGTTTTCGTTATATTCATATAATGATTACTAAACTGACATTTTCTGGAATTTTTAGGCGAATATTAACCACTTATAAATTTACTCTATTATAATGTTAATCTTTCAAGCAAAATGATTCAGTGTTCTTGGGTTTTTTCTCTTTCTGTTTGTTTTTGGTGATTTTAGAGGGCGACTCCATTTACATAGTTTCATATTTTCCAGATGTTCTAGTTTTAAATACAAAGTCTTTTTAAAAACGTACTCGAGAAGGTGCTATCAGAAATATATGTCACGCTTACTTTATTTGCGTGTCTATTAATTTACTGAAATGATATACTTACAGTGTTTCACGTCCGCTAGTTTAGGTCTGTCGAATTTTTCACTCCTTGATAGCATAAACCCTCTAAATGATTTCTTTTGATCAAACCACGAACACTTTTCTTTTATGATATTATCAGATGTCATTGATGCGACAAAGTAAGCCTTCATTTGAGGTTTACATCGCAAATGCTTAGGTTTCATAGGCATTGGCGTTGTCACTTTTAATGGCGGTAAAGTACTAGGTAGTATTCTGTTATCAATTTCGAACTCATGATTTACAACATTTATAATGCTTGACCTCCTTTGTTTCTCTTTTTCTTTGAATTTTACAACATGAGGCTTCAGGAGGACTTTATCCCCTTCATTAACGGTTTCCGGAAGTGTAACATTCTGTTTCGGTAATATAGTTTTCTGGTGGATTGTTTTCCTTTTGCGTTCTCGTTTTCTATCAAAGTCATCAGATGGTGTTTGAACATTTCGTCTTACACTTTGATATCGATCATAAAAATCATGAGGATATATAATCGACATCAACAAAGTTTTTTCATCTTTCACCGATTTTCTATTGGAAAGTTTCTTTTTTTCACAAATAACACAAGGATTTAATTCCTTATCGTCATTTATAATTAATGCATTTTTTAACCGTCCAATTTTTCTATACAAACTTATTTCTGCACACTCTGAACAAATCGTTGGACGCTGATTTGTTGATGTATCATTACTGAGAAGCTCTTCAGTTAATGGTACGTCATCTGTATTTTCACGCATGAGTTGATAAGCTGATTCTTCACAAGATGATTCGCACTTTTCCATTAGATCGGTCGATGTTTCCTCCTTACATTTCGGTAAAATCACAGGGTTAGTATCACTACGTTCATCTTTTCTATTTTCTTTCTCCTTTTCTTTAGACAAATCTACTTTTCTTCCTATGCTTAATGAAAATTTTCCTTTAAGCGAAGCAGAATCCCGACAGGCGAGCGTAGCATGACGACCTTCAAGTTTATAGTCCAAACTTTGCCTCTGCCTTCCCTTTGCACTTCCCCTCGTTTCATACAGGTAAGCTTTTTGCGAAGTAATGGCGTTCATTGATTACTTTGGAGTCAATAAATGTCCATCTTAAATCGGATTACTACAACAATACGCGCTGATCAAACAATCCCCTAATAAAAAGAAAATAAACAATCAAGGAATGTTTACAAATATTGACGTGATTCTTACCAGGTGCCATATAAAATATTAATTTTAAACCAGGACAATTATGTTTGACATGTTACAATGACAAATAAGAATTTAAGATGACTTAGGGTTAAGGAAAACTGATACGATGGAGAGGGGGAAATGTATTATTGTTTTAAATGTTGTGATCAATTTTAATCTTTCAGCAAAAATTCTGGGTGTAAATTTACCGATTTAATTATTTATTAACAATTGTCAGAAACAAATGCACAATGCACTTTATGTTTTGTGCGTTGAGTCACTTGGGTAAATTTAATTTGAAAATTAAGTTCTTATATATTCTTAGAAAAACTAGGAGATTTTTTGTAGTGAATAGAAGCCCCGTAACTATTATACAGTTAAACGTATACTGCGTTAAGAAATACAATTGAAAATATATCATATGAACCTTTTATGTCAAGCGTACCTATAGGAGTTTATACAGTGTGGTACATGTAGATAGTTTTCATCATTATGATGCCTTTAAATTTGAAATGTTCGACCAGCGTTATGTCAGCTTTTACTTTAATAAGACGAATAGAACGAAAACCTGTCTACGGAAGACGTTTTATCTAGTTCTATTTTTATTCTATTTTACCACCAGAATGAGAGTGACCAAGGGCTTTTTTTTATCCTGGAGACACCACCAGATTGCTTTCACTTATTATTCATTTCATCTTCGTTTAATGTTATATGTTATATATCCTATTTTGGAAATTTTCAATCCACAAAAAAGGAAATATAACACATATTTCTAAAAGGTCAATCAACTAATAATTGTAATTCTACTGCTATGTGCGACTACAATATAAACTAAATCATTGACGCCTTATCTCCTTTTATTCATAAAATAACCCAACTGACATCCTTTATGAACCTATTGTTCAACTTTTAATCAATACGCGACACTTTAACAAAATAATTTATTATTATTATAATGTATGCATTGTTAGTTTTTAATTAGTCCTAAATCACTGACTCGCAACTAAGCCATATTATCTAAAAATAACAAAAATAACATGAAATCAAAAAGTATATATTCATATTCATGATATTATATCATTGTCAGTATATCATTGTAACAGTGTATCTTGTAGCGCCATGGGGATTTAGGGGATTCTCGTTAACAGCTATCTCATAAGAAAGAAAGTTAACAAAAGGTTAACTAGAACTTCCAATTTATCTTAATTGTTTAGAGAATTATTTAATTTTATTTATTCTATTTCATAACTTCTTATAACACTTTGAGTTTCTGGCAAGATATGTATCAAACTCTTTACCACTGGTATACACACACTCTGACCAAAATTTTTTAGTAAGCAAACCGTGTTTGGGTCTTTTATAGCTATAGCTTTGCGGTATGGGCTTTGCTCATTGTTGAAGGCCGTACGGTGACCTATAGTTGCTAACTCCTACATCACTTAGGATCTGGTGGATAGTTCTCTCATTGGCAATCAGACATCATCTTCTTATTCGTATATACTTATCCAGTTCTAAATATATTACTTATATGTATGCGGGCAAACTGGAGAGATCAAGGAAAATTCAATAAAAATCTATAATCTAGAAAATATGTTTATGATTTAAAGTTTTAGGATAGCCATGATATAAGGTACAATTTCATTAGTCAGATGCTGTTTAAATAAAGAATACAGTTGCGGATTCAGGCGGGGGCGTGCGCCCCCAGAAAAATAAATTTGCAAAGCATGGGTTGTCCTCAGCTTAATAAAGAATATTTCGATAATTTTACCTCAAAAAAATTTGTTTAAGTATGCGCCGCCTTAACCTAAAATCCTGGACCCGCCCCTGGAATACACCTTGAAAACTGGTAAATGGGGGTATATCAGATTGGGACAGAAATTTAGCCTTGCAATAGGCCACCTACGAACCCCTTAAACGCTTTGGTGTATCCCCATACACAAAACCCTTTTAACGAGGGATAATTGTAATTCTGAAGTACATTGTACGATTAGAATTTTTGATGACGTAATGACTTTTTTGAAAGAAATAAAACTTTGTCTTAAATTCAAAAGGACGATGAATAACTGACCTCATATTTGTATTTTGACATGATTTCCAACATTTCCCGTTCCTTTTACTAAATATGTATTCCTTCTAAGCTTTATATGGTATGTTATATACGAAATCACGTTATTCCAACAAAATGTTCCTACCAATGTGTTGATCTATGTAAATCATTCATAACTTTATCTCTCATGCATTAACGCATTTTTTTCCCATATTTGACATAAAAAAAAAGTCGGAGACCCACCTGCATTACGTTTCAAAATTCATTTAAAGTTTCTAAATGAAAGTTAAGCAATGCTTGATCAAACCTTTTCTACTTTGATCGAAATCTTCACGTACAAGCTTTCAAACAATAGATTTCGTCATTATAAATAAAACATGTCATTTAACCCCAAATTATCTATTCAATGATTTCAATAAATGATTTTGAAAATACGTAATCGGTTAAAAAATCTGAATGTGTTTGTTTTTGAAAGTCATACAAAATTCCTCAATATTAGCTAATTATAATGAGGGTCTGGATTGGGAGTCCTTTATTTCTTTATTCTTTAATTGTTCAGACAATTTTTGTCCATTATTCACTATTCTAAATATTTCAACACCCCATTATTTTCTACTCTGTATTTTTTTTTTTTTTTTTGCGTATTTTTCTCTATTCTTGATATTTTAGCCATTTATTCTGCACTTTTTGTCCATTATTCCCTATTCTGTAAACCCCACACAGACCCTCTATAATATGACATAATGCTGTTTAATCCTAAAGATAGGCACATGGATCTATGATACTAATTTTGGTCAATATTAAAAGAGATTGAGAAAACAGAAATATTTTCATATAAGTGTTTTACAATGATATCAAATATTATTTTGTTACGAAACTTTTATCACTTGTCAAACATAATTCATATACGAAGACAGTTAGTGTGGTATTAGCCAATGAGACTTTGTATAGAGTATTAAACAATAACTTGTCTATAGTATTTACAAAGCTCTAAATCGCCCAGGTTCCACACTATTTGTGAATAAATTTAACAGAGAATATATAAAAAAAAAACTCCCTCCAAAATTAAATTCAATAAACACCTAATGCTCTTCGTCTTCGTACTTTATTTGGCCTTTTAACTTGTTTGATTCGAGCGTCACTTATGTGTCATTTGTAGACGAAACGCGCGTCTGGTGTACATAATCATAAGCCTGGTATCTTTGGCGAGGTTTTTTTTAGATAAAAAAAACCTTCTGATATGGTTCATGATATGAGACAGGCACATCAACATGAAGCGGGGCTCAACTAAGTTTTTTAATACTCAGCCCTCTGCCTTATGTATCTCGATAAGCCGAATCACAAGAGGTACATAAAAGACCATACAATAAAAAATTAGTTCAGAATAAAGTAGCGAATTATAAAGGGAGCAAATATACAAGACAATACTATTCAGGGAATAAACAAAACCCATTATAGAAAAGTTTTACAATGCAAGTGATCCACAGAAAGAGACAGAAGACAATGAAAATTGAATCTCGCGAACAAAAATAAAACCCAATGATGTATTTAAATGCTCTTCCTCTGGAAGGCTGAGCATTATTCTCTTAATATTGAACTCGCATATTAAATGTGATATAAAAGTGAATTAGACAGTAGTTCAGCAACACAGGTTAACCAGAAAAGACATGACATTCCTAGTAAAATATATTTGGTGAAAGGGCATCAGGAGAGTAGAAATGTGACAGATACGTGTCCATCCCCGACAAACGTTATATTGCTAGGTTGGCCAAGTGTTCCGCGAAACCTCTTTCAAAACTATTAACATAATATTTATCATCAATCAAAGTCGTCTTCAGAGTTACTTTGAAAATACATAATCTAGTGGGCGAAGTGAATCAGATGTGGATACTAAGAATTAAAAGGTCGGTTAGACTTCATAAAATCTTAGTCTCTGTCCTCTTGGAATAGTTAAAAAAAACATTTCATTTCTCTACCTTTTACACCAGTGTACCCAATCCTAAACTTGAATGATTGAAAGAACTAGCCAAACTTTGTTTCTTGAAAAAATAGCCAGCGTAGATACAAATAGGTATAAATCATACTTTGAAAAAAAAAAACTCTTTGAATTTTTAACATACAATCGGCAAACCTATGGGAAACAACTGTGCTCCTCTTCTTGTCGACTTGTTCCTTTATTAATGTATGACATACTTTATACAAGAGCTTCCCAGAAAGATTTAAAAGAAGTTAGCATTATGCTTCACTTCAAGTTCCGCTAAATAGATGATGCCCTCTCACTAAATAATTAACATTTTGATGTTTATGTTGAACCCATCTATCCAATCGTAATCGATATAAAGGATACCACAGATACAGTTAAGACTACCAAATATCCTGACTTACATCTAAAATTTGACAATGAGGGTAGGTTGAGAACAAAACTTTACAACAAAGGGACAATTTCAGTTTTCCAATTGTGACTTTCCATTTCTAGGTATAAATGTGCATTACTTAATAAATAAATATGTAGCAACATTCCAGAGCTTGCATTTCCGGTCATGATTTCCTTGATAATGGGTTGCTGCTTACAAGGAAGCTATTGAACAAAGAGTTATGAGAGGTACAGTTGAATTCAGCTATTCCAAAGTTTAACTGACGCCATCTCAAGTTAGTTGACCTTTATGGAATATCTGTGTCACAGATAACGACGGATATGTTCCAATTATCGTAACCATCATACCGGTTGACACCGTTATCCTCTTTTCCAGGATTGTGACACCAAGAAATGAGATTCATTATAACATATTTATACATGCATGATCAACAAGACGGGTACCAAATGCATGTGGAGCAGGAACTGCTTACCCTTTCGTAGCAAGTGAGTTCACTCCCGGTTTTTGGTGGGGAAAGTGTTGCTAAGTCTTTAGTTTTCTTCGTCGTGTTTTTTTGGAATTTTCCTTTCGTTGTATTTTGTTTTTTTGCAACGGCATTGTTAGCTTTCTTCAACTTTTTATGTTCCACGTGAAATCAATTATAATGCGCCATATTGCTGAAATTTGCACAATGAAGATGTCGATTCCAAAGTAGGTGAATAACTCGAAAAATATTTATAAAATTTCAATATTTATCAAACATCTATAGCAAAGGATGACGATTTACTGTTACATATTTCTATCAATTTACAATAAATATAACATCATTCTCAGGAACTTTTTCAAATCAATAAAATATCCATTTAAAAAAAGAAAGAAAGCATAACCGTTCGCACGAAGTAAACGAGCAATGTGTAAAAATAGTGTGGATTTACTAATTTGGCGGAGCTAATAATTCTATATAAGGGAACGACTGTTAATATTCGAGGCTTGAGGGTTTGTTGGTGGACAGGATTTTTTTTTTCGGATTGACTCTTTATTTTCATCTGTTGCTAAGCATGCTTATTTTTTTCTGCGGCTTTGCCGTGCGAAAGTTTATTTGCACTTTTGAACACAATTGTTTCCTGCATTTTGTGTTGCAGAATTTTCAAGAGTTACTTTAAGAATGTAACTGGCACCAAATGATTTCAAGACATACATAGAAAAGTTTGATTCACATCACAAACGGGAAACAAAACTTATTTCTCGTTCTGGAAATGCTAAGCTTATATTTCGCTTCACCTCTGTTTTGCTACATACCTTTTTTAATATAAATCTGCATATATGCAGAAAACTTGTAAACTGAATATAAGTCGTCAGAAATGAAATTCACGCAACAACCTACACTGAAGAAATTGTGGTTTTTTGAAATATGTAAATGTCAAATTTCATTGTCATAACATATGTAGACATGTATTACCTGACATGCAACTGCAATTGTTTAGATGTAATAACATCATAATATAGGTTACATTATAATTATGCTTTTGACATAAAAAATAAAAAAAAAAAAATTCTTTCAAAACTATCCGATGTACGATACACAAACTTGCAAATTTACTTCCACACTGCGTGTTCTCCGTTCTTTCAAATTTTCTTCAAACTGAGCTGCAACTTGGAAAATGCAAATGCCTTCATGGCCATTTAACCGTGCGATACGGCAGATGGATGTAGAAATAAATACACAAGTTGGATAACATATTTTACATAAGTTTCACCTGTTGCGTTTTCACAATAAATAACTAAATTCAAACTTTAAACTGTGTTAAGCAGTAATTTAAAGTGTCTGAAGCTTTAGTCCAGAGTCTATAAATTTCAATTTTAAGTGTTTATAGGCGACTAAGGAATACATAAGTGCCATGTAAAACGTGCAAGTTTCATTTAACATCATGTATAAAAAGCTAAATATCTTAAAGTTTGTCACCAATCGGACATCTACGAAGAAGAAAGATGGGAGTCTTACTACTTGCGTTCGCACTGATTGCAGCTGGTATGTTTTTGCTATATGTTATTTAATTCATTATTTTTTTTTTCATTTCTCTTCCCTTTTCTTAAATTCCGAGTAATCAAGACGCAACTAAAAAGTTGACAAGGATATTGGCAATTTGTATTTAGGAGAAGTTTTTGGTTTCCAAAGGTTACCGACGAAAATTGGACATTAAAATAAATAATAATCCAGCTCAAATATATTACATTGCTATCTTTTCTAAGTTTATGCGCATTTAAAATTAGATTTGCTTATTTTTGTCAATTACACTTCACTTAGAAATTGACCGAAATTGAACTAAAATTCTTTTCCTGTCGAGTTAGTATCTTAAAAGACTCTTTTTTCAAATTTGTTTAGTCCTTCATCTTTGTCTATTACATATTTGCTTTTGTTTATTTTTGTTAGACTATATCAAATTTCAATTTTCTTTAGAACATGATGTTGAATAAAGCTCTAAAATAAGGGGCAAAAACGACAATTTTGACAAATTGGTAAATGTGAAAACGGATTCTTCGAGGTTCGCGGGATATCGTTCTCTGACAGTTTTTTTGAAAGTATAGATTATCTTGATTTTTTAGCTTTGATTTACAAAATAATTGGAATCTAAAGTGTGTGTTACATGATATTTCATTCAGTTTTATTCTGAAAACAATATTTCTTTTTAATTTGCTAATTTGATAGTATTTATATACATTTATAAATTCCAGAAATATATTTAGGGTGCAAAATTTTGCCTTTTGAAGATTAAAAATAATTGTATCCGAGTGGAGTTGGGAAATTACAAAGTATTATATATCTTTGATTTGACCAACAGGAGTATTATATTCTATATTTTTGGCGAATTGTATCTTTTAGGTTGACAATAATTATAAGTGGACAAAAATGAGAACAAATTCACTTGTTGGTGCATGTGTCTGTATGTGGTATGATGCATGTATTATTAATATGCCTAGCATTGTATTAAGTTATCCTATTAGCACTGCTTGATTTTGGAATAAAGATTTATTATTATAGATATTGTTCATTTTACAAAAATGAGCAACTAACTGTATAACAAGTTATCATTGCGCTTTGCGTCTTTTTGTTCTGTTGTACATAATTTGTCGCATTTCTTTTTTAATTATTATTAAAGCCTCTGCTGTTGACATATGGCAACCAGCGAAAGAGCTGATAGAAAGTATAGAAAGGGGAGACAAATGGCCGGTAAGCTTTCTTATTTGTATACATAACTGTGCTTAATTTGGTGGATAGTTGTCTCATTGGCAATCATACCTCATCTCCTTATTTTTATAAAGGAGTAGAGCCAATTTTCCCTGCATTTGTTTCACTCACAGGATTAAAGTCTAAAAAGATGTCACATTCTATACTGTATGTTGAATATTATTTATAAACAGTCTGAATCATGCATGTGATTAAAATATTTTTTTACCATTTTAAACATCTCTATACACTCAAAATTCTATTCAGTGCTACCTTTTTTAGTCTTGTATGTTTTTTTGATTTGGTTAATTTATATGTTTTGGAGTTTGGTGTTACGTCCATTTTCTCTGAACAAATCCACAATTTTGTTTAGAGGCCAGCTGAAGCCCGCCTCCGGGTGCGGGATTTTCTCGCTGTGTCGAAGACTCATTGGTGGCATTCGGCTGTTTTATGCTCTTTGGTCGGGTTGTTGTTTCTTTGACACATTCCTCGTTTCCATTCTCAGTTTTATATTTTGCTGTTGTAGACTTATTGATACAAAACTACAAATTTTACATGTTTTTGTCAAATTTTGCATTGGAGGACATCGCTTAACAGAACTACAGAATTTTAGTTTTTATTAATGATGTCCTTAACACTTTTCTAGGATAAATACTCAAAATTTCTGTCAAAATCGCAATTTTCAGCTGTCTTTAGGCGTTTATAGGTTGGTGATATGTTTAGAAATAAGCCTACATTTGAGTACCTTAAAGTGTACACATTTACATTTGGCTGTGCTACGTTGAATTTAAGTAAAGATTGAAATACTTTTTGAAAATGACCCCTGGTGTGAAATAAATTCAGGAGAAATTGGCCTTCCTCTTTGCAACTGTAGCTTAATGGACGTGTAAAATTAAATCTTTTCTCTCAATTACAGCAGAATGCATTGAGTGTGTAGGTAAAGGTAATATCTTTGGTTAGCTTGCTTGTTAGCTGAACCGTGAAGTCATTATTAGGTTAGGTAAACTATCCTCCTTTAAGAGTAGACTAGTCCGACCGATAACCAATCTATCTGTCTATAGGACTATACTACTACGAAAGGAGGGTAGTATACCTAACCTAATAATGACTTCACGGTTCAACTAACAAGCAAGCTAACCAAAGATTCTACCTTTACCTACACACCCAATGCATTCTGCTGTAAATGAGTATGTATCTAACTATACTCAACTCGCATATTTATATTTATCCGATTAAATAGGTCTAGTACATTTCTGGTGTATTGATCCTATCAGCTGCCAAGACTATTTAAACTTCTCTTTTTTCAATATTTTAGTCCTATCTATATGTTCTAAATATTTAAGTCACATCAATCTTCTCTTTTTTATTTCAGGTCGATGACGGAGTTGGGAAAATCGTCGGTGGTGTAGATACAACAATTTCACAGCACCCTCATCAAGTGTCCCTACAAAGAAGTAATAGCCATATTTGCGGGGGTGCCATCGTGAATGCAGATTGGATTGTAACGGCTGCACATTGTGTTGACAGTTCCAGACCGTAAGTATACGGATATATTGTAACACGGATTTTCTGAACTTAAGTGCACACATCAAGATCTACTATTATATAAAAATGTGAAGATATTTCCTTTACAGCAGAATTAAAAAAATAATTTGGATTCAAAATTTGGACAATATACCACACCTATAAGCTTATCTATATTTAAACTTCCACAGGGAAGGAACCCGTGCGTACCTTTTCTTTTTTTACCTAGAAACATTTTGTGGTATTTCGCCTCCTTTAAGTGCAGTTGATAAAAGAAGTTTTCATTCGAGAAGTCTATAATATTTAACAAGGACGACAAACCACGGTTTAGGGTCACTGGAATAATTCCTCAACCTAGCAGAGTGTCATTTCCACATATTTATACCAAACAAACAAACAAATACTTTATTTGCCCATCACGGCGCCCAAAATGAGCAGAATAATCAACAATCATAATTTTCAAACATAATATAAAAAAAAAATTAGATTAAACATAACATGATTAGCGTTGATTTAAATGAAAACATCTAATATTAAAGTAAATGCAATACTAGTAAGTAATTTGTAATAATAAAAAAATGTAGTATACCAATACATCAAAAGAGTCTGTTTAAAAGTGTTTGTTACATGTAGGTACATGTATATACCTGGTAAACTATTATTCCACTACATAATCGTACTTTTAAAAATACTGTTGACTGCAATAAGCGAAAGAACACTAAATCTGTATAGAATATTTTATAACAGTATGCAACCGACGAGGTTTTAGACTTTGGACCAGGCACACGAATCCACTACAGAGCTAAAGAGATTTCTTTTTTAAATTTATATCTCAACACCACTCTTATTATATCAAGTAACGGTAATTTTTAGGGATAATATAATACATATTTTCTTTTTCTTTGTTTTCAGACAGGACTACAGGATTCGAGCAGGATCTTCAAATCATGGCAGTGGTGGGACTACGAGAAGTATAGAGCTCATCGTACCGGTAAAATTCTGATCATTTATTCCTTTAATCATTCAGGGTATTATATTTGTTTGTTTAGTATTGACAAGGCTGCATTATCACCCTAAACACAATTGTGTATTATTAGTTACACAGAGATCTAGTGACCTTATACGAAACCAAGCCTACTAACCCCATATTAAATATACACGATCTCCACGCGGTCGATTTTAACCAATGATAATCCTAGAAATGTATAGGAGGTATGATAAAAGGCTATTTTAAGAGATTTGACAGTGCAGTCTTATGTTAAATATAAACCCCATCATATCATTACATTATATTCAAATGTTTATGACACTCGAGTCTAACAGTAATGTTAATAATTTTGATCACATATATAATGGTATTAAATTTTTTTTTTGACTTTTCAGTGCCAAAATTGAATAAGTAAGAAAGCTAGTTTTGTCTAAATAGTATACGACACTACACTGAATTTGGGCCAACCTTTAAAAAGGGGTTTCTGGTAAATAAATTATCCAAACACGAAAAAATCACTAATAAACCGATTTCCTCATTTATTTCGTGTTAGGCATGGAAGCATTAAGCATGTAGCAATACCGATATGTCATGATTGACTAATTGGAATTTGGTCCGAATCTAATCATCGGGCATAAGCCATATGGCTACCCAAGTGATATGCAGTAATATATAAGTCATATTGAAATATTATTCATATATTGTCTGCATTCTGTTAAAATGACTGAAAGAAAGCTACAAGTAAATGAATAATAGTATGTAAATTTTCATAATTTAATATACTGTTATATGTCAGGTGAAAATAATATCATACAGACATAACAATGCCGAAGACGGTAACCCAACTGGCTCTTGAGTTTTTCCTATGCAATATATTGACACGAAATTTTATTTGTAAAACAGATTGTAGAACAAACATTTGCAAAGTAGAATGCAAAAAACATTAAAAAAATTAAGTGCCAGTCTTTGTAAGAATCAGGCAATTTAGAAAAATTTCAAAACATGGCCGAAAAAAAACCCACCGACTTAACCATCCTATTTTGAAGTTACCTTCATCCTGAGTTAGAAATGGTAGGTCTTTTGTTTCTCCGCGTGTGTCTGGTAATTCGAGAAATCTCTAGATATCTTTTGGTTAGAATGATAGCAAATTACGGAGTTAGCTCCCCTTAATTGTTTATTTCTAGTGCATTTCAACCAAATTATATCTTGAATTACCAGAACAAGAAAAGGAAACGAATGTCATATTTGTGCACCATTATACATTTTGAACATAAATTAATGTCAACTTGAGTGGGTTTTTGTTTGTCATGTTTTCACCACTGCCTGATTCTTAGGTAGATTGGCACTTAATTCATCAATTACTGGAAACCCACGCATTTTTGTATATAAAAAACGCTATTTCATTGCATTTTGGTATTGTGGCAAAATAAAATAGCCTTTTCTAAACTCTTATTTTTTAGCACGAAAATTACAACTCAGGATCTGGAACATTCCCAAATGACATTGCATTGATGAAAATGTCATCTAGTTTGTCATTAACCGGTAGTATTTCAGCTATTACTTTGGCAACAGGAAGTCCTGACGAGTTTGCTGGCCAGACATGTGAAATCACTGGATGGGGCAGAACTTGTGGAACATGTAAGTACATTACTAAAACATAGTCTGGCGTAAATTGTGGAACATGTAAGTACATAACTAAACTTAAGTCTGGCAGAAATTGTTGAACATGCAAATTCATACCTCAAACAAATTATTGCAGAACTTGTGGAACATATAAGTTCATACCTCAGAAAAGGTTTGCAGAATTTATATATATATATATATATATATATATATATTATATATATATGCGGTATACCATCTTTTCCGCAAGTTTATTGTTTTCTGTTTGGTATTAAATTAAATATTAAGATCCATTTTGTTACATCTGGTGATCCGTTTATTTGGCAATCGCCATGGCAGTCAGCAGGGTTTAAGAACATCAGTTGTTCGACCTGTTAGTCAAATGCGTTTTGTTAAAATATACCTTTTCACTATTTTGGTCTTTTGGAAAATGTTGTTTGTGCTGTATTTAGACCCCTCTACCAAGAAATTTGTTTGCATGCACACGTATAAAAATTGCGGTGTTTATCCAACGCAATCATAGGTTTGAACGTTGTTTTCAATTTATGCTTGTTTATATTTTTTCGTTTGGGCTTGTATTATATTTGCCTTCGGGTTTATATGATCCGTTCATCCTATTTCGACTCTTTAAAATTCAAGAGTCAATCCTAAATTGAGATAAATTTTATGGACTTCCAAATACTGTTTCGATCCCTAACATCACTGAAGAGACATTGATTGTCGAAATCCGGATATGGTGTACTAATGTTTGCACCTTTTGTTTGCGGTATACCATCTTTACTGCAAGTTTATTGTTTTCTGTTTGGTATTAAATTTATATTATTAAAGATCCATTTTGTTACATCTGGTGATCCGTTTATTTGGCAATCGCCATTGACAGTCAGCAGGGTTTAAGAACATCAGTTGTTCGACCTGTTAGTCAAATGCGTTTTGTTAAAATATACCTTTTCACTCTTTTGGTCTTTTGGAAAATGTTGTTTGTGCTGTATTTAGACCCCTCTACCAAGAAATTTGTTTGCATGCACACGTATAAAAATTGCGGTTTTTATCCAACGCAATCATAGGTTTGAACGTTGTTTTCAATTTAGACTTGTTTATATTTTTTCGTTTGGGCTTGTATTATATTTGCCTTCGGGTTTATATGATCCGTTCATCCTATTTCGACTCTTCAAAATTCGAGAGTCAATCCCAAATTGAGGTAAATTATATGGCCTTCCAAATACCGTTTCGATTCCTTACATCACTGAAGAGACATTAATTGTCGAAATCCGGATATGGTGTACAAAGTTTTGCACCTCATGTTTGCGGTATACCATCTTTTCCGCAAGTTTTTTGTTTTCTATTTGGTATTAGATTAAAATTAAGATCCATTTTGTTACATCTGTGATCCGTTTATTTGGCAATCGCCATGGCAGTCAGCAGGGTTTAAGAACATCCGTTGTTCGACCTGCTAGTCAAATGCGTTTTGTTAAAATATACTTTTTCACTTTTTGGTCTTTTGGAAAATGTTGTTTGTGCTGTATTTAGACCCCTCTACCAAGAAATTTGTTTTGCATGCACACGTATAAAAATTGCGGTTTTTATCCAACGCAATCATAGGTTTGAACGTTGTTTTCAATTTAGACTTGTATATATATATACACACCTTACAAGCTCCTAGTGAATATTCTTTAAATATACATTTATAACAATATATATTAAAATTGAGAATGGAAATGGGGAATTACTGCCAATTATGAGACAGGAGTGCAATTAATCTGTAAGACTTTTAATCATTATGTTTTTCATATTATTACGACTGTTTTTTCACAGGTTCGGAAAGATTCATTATTTTCAACTTTGCCATGTTAAGGAAGATAACTCAGATAATTCAATAATATAAAGGAATGAACACGTAATTCATCTATTTTGTTTGGCAGCAAGAAAACATGTACAGTGTTCCCATTCTTCTTTTTAATTTTCTGAAAGCACATTATAACAGCTATCTTCCCATATCTTTTTTTTTAAATTCTGTTGTTAAGTTTTCTTTCAATTCACACAAAAGCGTTTTTTCATTGTATAATCATGACAAATTCTAAAAAATTCGCACATTTGGCTTAACAAAATTAAAGCTCCATGACTCATACTTTTTATTATGTGTTTAGAAATAGCGTTATATAAACTATACATTTTGTCAAAGAATTGCAAAGTTCTATAGTTGTCTATTGAGCGGATTGGACCCTCGGGAAATGTTGTTCCACCAGCAATGATCTATTGATATAGTTATTAAAACATACGATACTTATTTCTAAGCGCACAATATTTTTTTTCTGGAATGCCATACATTTGGTATCATATGAAGGCCAAAAGGTTTGGACGCTTATCATTCATATAATTTTAGAGAGTGTCAAATTCAAATGGAACAAAAGATGGAGGCCCAAAATGTTCAAGATCAACTTTTGCCTGCGGGAATAGTTAGTGTTTAGGACAATTGCATTATTCATGAAAACATCTATAATAATGTTTCTCTGGTACGCCCATTTTATGAAATTGCCGATTTTTATTTTGCAGGCGGTTTACCCATTACTTTACAATCATTAAGCATGCAAGTGCTTCGAAACAGTGAGTGCAGAAACTATTGGACTGGCAATAACATAATTGACGGCCATATTTGTGTATTCCAAGGAACCGGTTTCAGTGCTTGCAATGTAAGTAAAACACATTCTTACATGATTTTGAATAAGTTTCTGTATAACGCATTGACATTTATCAATATTTAGGGTGTTTTTAAACAACAGAAAACGCTTCGTGAGATAATATTAAAGATGTACATTACTTACACTTTGAAGTACAAAATTGAAAACAACACGTTTAATAATTTCATGCGTCCGAAGCGCTTTTTCTGGATTTACCTTTATCAGGAACGCTCAATGCCAAACATTTGAAATCCGAGGGATGTATAAGTACCGAAACAGTTGAAGAGCTATATGACAAAAATACCCAAAATAAATAGCCAAATTCATCTAAGGTCAACTTTGCCTGAGGGAGTTGAAACCTTAGTTTCTTTATAATTTCAAAATTTATAAACGGACAATTTTAGAAATGTGAAAGATATACATGTATATTATTTACACATTTAACTTTAAGTATGAAATAAAAAAAAGATATATATTACTTACACATTGAAGTACAAAATAAGATATATATTATTTACACACATTTATATTACTTGCACATTTTAGTACGAAATATAAAAAAATATAAAGATATATATTACTAATACACTGAAGTAAGAAATAAGATGTATATATATATATATATATAAAGACTTTACTCCAATTTTAAAATGACATTAGTAGTCTCCCTTGTATTTGTTAACGTCATACTATTGTTAATGTCAATCAATTGTTTTATAACACTTATGTGTACAAGTCAAGTTACCTGTGAAGATTTGTAAAAGCAGTGAAAGCGCTAGTAAAAGTATTATCATTTATTAATTTTCTTATATGCTACCAGCATACAGATTCTACTTAACTTTTCTTTATATATATATAAAGTCAAATGCGTTTTGTTAAAATATACTTTTTCACTCATTTGGTCTTTTGGAAAATGTTGTTTGTGCTGTATTTAGACCCCTCTTCCAAGAAAATTTTTGGATCCACCAACTCCACACTTTAGAACCTGATGGTCTTAACGAAAAAGATGAGAAAAGATACAGGAAAGATAAAGAATAATTTAGTACACAATATCGTCCTTTTTATCCTGTAATATTGGCCAATGGACGTTGCTAACTTCAACTACCAATTTTGTAAAAATCTTGAACTTCATCCAAATTATGTATTATTTTCAAGGCAGCTAAATTCAAGTGCAACATATACATTGAGCTGCAAAAGTTTCTTATCATCTACATCCGATTTCACCTGGATAGATGCACGCTTGATAAAGCTAGTTAGTCTAGCGAAATATTGCGTTTATTTTCATCATTTTGTAAATATTTTAAACATTCTTATATTTACATACTAAATAGTGTGTTAAAATTACATTGTTAGGCAATCTATAATTTTATTTGTGTAATTGAATTAATCTCTGTACTGATTAATCCACACTCCCATAGATTTGTATGTCATGTGCTGCTATTTATAGGCACTTATATATATATATATATATATATATATATATATATATATACCATGTATACTGTAAAACACCTTCATTGTATACATCATCTTTATTTATCATTAGGGAGACAGTGGAGGACCAATGGTTTGTTCTGGTCAACTCGCTGGTGTCACATCATGGGGCCAGAGTGGATGTCCAGGAAGCCGTCCTAGCGTTTACACTCGCATTGGCGTGTACAAAAGCTGGATGGAATACGTTATAACATCAAATTCCTAATTTATGTCCGAATAAACAATGCAGTATATATATATGTGTTATTCTATTTTTATTTTAAATGTATGCGAGCCCACACAATTGATTCATTGGCCTTTGCTTCACGTACACGACGTTTCCAATATAGCGGACACGTGGCTACGTGGAAGATATAAAAAAAATGACATAGATAGCTTCAAAGGTCGTCTTATCGAGGAGTGTTTAGTACCGTGATCGTGTCTTGATTTAATTAGGTCACTCCCCCGAATAATTGCCTTAGTTCCCTACAAGTCAGCATACAAAAAGTAACGAAAATGTTTGATTCAATGTTTTTCGTCAAGCTTTCATTATTAAAATTGTGGTTGTTGAAAATAAACGCACGTAAAGCGTAATATCAAAATATTGACATGGTTTGGTTAAGTAATTGACAGTGTTCCAAATTTTGTTATGGTTTGGATATCTTGGTGTAGTCAGGGGTGAACTATTAGTTACATAGGGTGCTAGTGACCTAATAGGATATATATAAGGTCAGTAGCACACTGTGTAACGAATTTATCTCACCGACTATCTTAACATGTGGTATTTAGACTAGTGGCCTTAATAAAGTGATCAAGTCTTCAATAGTTAGTTCCATTGGTCTATACAAAAACGAATGCCAACAATAACAACTTGTTAGCTTTAAATGTGTTTTATGAATTTATTTCAATCGTTCATCATCAATTTCTCCGTCTGTTGAAACCTTTCAGATTTTTCCTCAACACCGTGTTGTTTTTACAAAGGGATGTAACACCACTACTAACCGTGTATTGAAATAAACCACGCCTACTAACCCAATATGAAATATACAAGGTCTCCACGCGGTTGCTTTTAACCAATCATATTCCTAGAAATGTATAGGAGGTAAGATAAAGAATTTTACAACGGTGTTGAAAAATACATTTTCAACACCGGTGTAAAATTCCGTACACCCCTGATCACACCAAGATAACGAATTTATTTCTTATTAAGATGCAAATCCTTAAGTCCCTGTTATAGCAAACGTAGATAAATGAATTACCTCCCTTATACTGACCACGAACGTTACCAAAACAACGCATTGAAACAAAATATTCTGCTTAATGTTTTTAATACAAAAATGAACAGATTACACAAATTATTGTTGAGAATAATGGAAATTTATTTAAAGGTATTAAATCATATTTCTGTGTGTAATTAAATATTTATTATTTATCCCAGGCTAAACTAGGGTGGGGTGTTATTTACACCCTGGTAATCAACCAATCAGATTACAGGATTCATGCCTCATAAGAAATAAAATTCAGTACACCCCTGATTACACCAAGATAACTTATATTACACTGGTGTGGAAAATTCATACACCCTGAGGACCAGTCGAAGGGTGTATATAAATAAGAAGATGTGATATGAGTGCCAATGAGACAACTATCCATCCAAGTCAATGTGTAAAAAGTAAAGAATTATAGGTCAAAGTACGGCCTTCAACACGGAGCCTTGGCTCACACCGAACAACAAGCTATAAAGGGCCCCCAAAAGACTAGTGTAAAACAATTCAAACAGGAAAACCAACGGTCTAATCTATATAAAAAAACGAGAAACGAGAAACATGCATTTTTTTCAACACCAGTGTAAATATAGAATAACCATACATTGTCTCGAAATATAAATGTTATTTGTACAAGGCTTATAAACAGGTAGAAAGCGAGGCTTTGCCGAGCATTTCTATCCTGTTTTGAGCCGAGTACAAATAAAATTTATATTTCGAGACAATGTATGGTTATTCTTAACATAATGCAACTCCTAGCTTCCACTGTCCCAAATGGGTAAAAACCATCATTTTTTAATTTGGAGCGAACGACGTAAAAATTCCGCAAACCTGTACCTTTTAATGACGTCATAAATAAAACTCTACGGAAACGCATTATCAATGTCATAAACAAGGCGATATATATACGGTCAGTGACTATATCACAAGTGATTATACGGTCAATGCACTGTAAATATACCTGACGTCTGACGCGTCCGGACGCGTTCAAAATTTGTACACCGAATGTTCAATATTTTAACGTCATATGTTCATGCTTAGAGGCGTGTTCAAAGTTTTAACGTTTGTGTTAAAAATATTAACATGTGTGTTCAGACGCAGTGAACACCGGTGTTCAAATTCTGATCTAAAAAAGAAGATAGTCGTTTGTCCGATTTTCTATCCTTCCAAAAAAAAATATGAATGTATACGCAGGATGATGATCTTGTGAATTTTTGGCTTATATTTTAGTAATTGTGAAATATTAAACTTCCAAGCTGGCATATATGTATAGTTTATGAATTTATTTTATTATTTATTTATATATACTAGTTTTACTTATAAGTGACATAATTATGCATATCAATGAGGCCTGTTATGATAATATCGTAATAAAAATATGTCGATGTTTATCTTATTTCAAGATCCGTTCATTTTATTAACATTACATGTTCAATCAGTGTTCAAATCGCTCGAAATTTTGAACACCTCGTGTTTAAAAAAATATACCAGGATACCAAATACCGGAAACAGATATCGGCTGGCAGTTTAGGCGGTTAAACGAAGAATGGATACACATAAGAAAGAGAACTGGAGAAGGGACTTCTATCCCATATGAACACGAAAGAAGTAAGTAACAAGTTAGAATAATCTCCATAGGTAGTTCGATGGCTTCCTTGTTATTTTCTCATGCCAGATATATATTTGTCAAATATTCATAACTGTTATATCCAAATTTTCAATATTCAACATAGAAGACGAATTAAAAAACGGGCTTTAGATATAAACGTAAATACTGTCAGCTTTGTTCTGATGATTTCCTAAACTGATGAATAAACAGTCTGTCTGTTATACAGAATAAATGATGATTTTCGACATCCGCATACATTAGCTGAACACTAAGTGTTAAGAACTCTAACATCAAGTGTTCAAAAATGAAACACAAAGGCATTAAAAACTGAACACCACACATTCAATTGATGAACACTAAGTGTTAAGAACTCTAACATCAAGTGTTCAAAAATGAAACACAAAGGCATTAAAAACTGAACACCACACATTCAATTGATGAACACTAGTGCAAACATTTGGAACACAATTTTTGACTTAGAAAATGCATTTGTTTTTTTATTTGCAGGAATCGTTAGATTAAAATGTTTGAATTAGGAACCGGTAGCCAATAATCCCAAAAAGGTCATTTCGGCATGCTATAAAGTGGTGGCAAAAAGAAAGATGTCGAAAAAAGGTATGACAATATATGTATATTAATAGCTTATGTGGGTGTATCATTTCTATCTGTTCACCTTAGGTCAAGAAATCGACTTTTGTAATTTATAATGTCAAAACTTGCATTTCATTGCTATAGAATATCAATTTGTACACTAGTATATATCGACATTAAAGCATAACAAGCATTGCATAATTTGATGCTTTATGAAAAACTCTCTTCTATTAATTTTTAATTTTATTTTGCAGGATTTATAGGCTCATAGACATTCCTTGTTGTGGAGGATTTTGACATTGGAAGTTGATAACAACACATAAAATGCCACCCAGTTGATAGCTTTAAGTGAAGATGCACTGAAAAGTGGAGCGTACATTGTATGTGATCGTACAAGAACTGTTGGAATTTGCAAACTTTTAAACTTTCATTGTGACAAATACCTATATCATAAACTATCTAATTATCACATTGACATGCTTTTTTGGTTAGGATACAAATGATGTTGCAACTATCTAGTCATGTAGGGGAAAATCATTATTTGTGATATATATTTAAGTCAGTAAACATTTGGAACACCATTACACGTTCAAAAAGTGTTACAAAAAAGCGTTCAAGCAATGTTCTATTTATTAACACTTAGTCTTAGATTTACAGTGTGCAATTTGACTGCGTAAATAGTACAGCTGCAGTATACAATTCCGTAAACCCCTGATTACACCAAGATAACGAATTTATTTCTTATGAAGCGTTCCTTTACCCATTTTATACTGGGATGTAAAAATTGGAAAATGTGTGTGACTGGACGAACTTTCTTTTGGTAAATGTCAAGGTTAGCCGTACGCAGCCGTCGTCATAAAGACGTTTCTTTCATGTGGTTAAATCGTGTCTGTTTTATTTCTTTCTGTTGTATTATTTCTTTTACAAATATAAGAACAGACCCATAAATTATACACTCCTAACAGTGTGTTGCCTTTGTTAACGCTTAAATCATTCTTCTTTTCTGTTGTTTTTTTTTTTTAGGAAATTACACATATGTTTTTATTTCAAACCAGAATAAGATTGAGAACAGTTACAATTTAGTTTACAATTCCCCATAAAAATTACAATTTCAAGAATTCCATAGATTTTCTGAATATGAACAAAAGGAGATGTGCGGTTTAATCAAAAAGGCAACAAATTGTCTTTAACAATAAACAGACATAATCTATACAATATGTCAGGTTCTAAATAGTCCCGAGTCCATAAGAGCACATAAACTAAAAAAAAAAAGATTATTTAGAAGTAATTTTGTGTTGGTTTTTAAACCTGGGACAAAAGAAAAAAAACTACGAGTTATTTTCCCCGTCTCTACACGGAACAAGGAAGAAGTGCCATCTTCCTCTGCATGTATTCATTTCACAGCATGGTCATTTTCAAGAAGTCTTTCAATCTTTACTTAAATCAGAAACACAGTCAATAAAACCTATGATTGAAATATAAACCTTTTACAGGGTAATATCCTTCTAGGTCCAAGGCAATTTGTCACAGATTAAATGTAATTTTCTGAAAAGACAAATTTAAAAAAATCAGGAATGTATAAGAACATTGTTAACAAAAACAAAAATTCTGCTTGATGTAAACTTAAAATTCTTTAATTTTCCGCAGAAGCTTAGTTATTAGTCCCCTGCAGACGAAGTAGAAGGGGACTTTAGGTTTGCACTCCGTCTGTCTGTCTGTCTGTCTGTCTGTCAGTCCGGCAAATCAGTTTTCCACACTTTTTTCCTCTCTCTCTCTCTCTCTCTCTCTCTC